GAAGGACATAGACAGGATCCAGCCTCAGGGGATAGATATCTGGAAGTGAATGAAGACTGACAAGAGGCGACATGTAGACCTGAGACAATCTGTGCCCAGGAGACTGCGGAGAGGGATTTGGCGGGAACAGGTATCAAATAAAGGCACCATCCAGACAGTGCTAACAGGCACATTCCCTGCCTTTCCTGCCCACAGGCCTCCTGGGGAACTTGCACAGCCCTGTGGGGGCCAGCTCCAGGCGCATCTCCCTCCCTGCCACAGCTGATGGGACCAGACATGCCCATGTTTGAAAAGGTCTAAGTGGCTTCTCCATTGCTTCAGGTTAGAGTCAGAACTGCCCACGCCATATTCCCTTCCCAGCTGTCTCCTCCCCTGGCTTCAGCCCCTGCCCCAATGTGCCTCAGTGCCTTGAACAAGCCAGGGCCTGTGTGCACAACCTGGCCTCCCCCACTCTGCTTCCCTGTTGGAAAGTCCCAATTCTCTGACCCCGCCCCGCCCTTGACTCCTGCTTCCTTCCCATGAGGCACTGTGCTGGCATCTGCATCAGGTATTGGCACCATGGGCCTGTTTTAGTCAGCTTCTCCCATGCTGTGATTGAAAGACCCGACCAGAACAACTGTAGAGGAGGAACAGTTTATTCAGGGGCTCACAGCTTCAGGGTCTTAGTCCATAGAAGGCCAGCTCCATTCCTTGGGGCTCAAGGTGAGGCAGAACATCATGGGGGAGTGTGGTGGAAGGAAGCCATTCACATGGTGATCAGAATGCCTAGAGAGAGAGAGACACTCCACTTTCCAGACAAAATATATATCCCAGAGCCATGGCCCCAATGAGCCACTTCCTCCAGCCACACCCCACATGCCCCACTCACCACTCAATTAATCCCACCAGGGATTAATTAACTGATTAGGGTGACCCAATCATTGTTCCTCCAAACTTTGCATTGTCTCACAGGTGAGCTTTTGAAGGACGCTCACATCTAAACCATAACAGGCCCCTGTGTTTCTCTCTTGCTCTATGCCTCGTGGGGCATCCTTGCTGCTTGGCCCATCACCAATGTTTGTGGGGAGCCTGAGTGAGTGGCTCTCTCATGGCGAACCCACCTGATTTGAGAGAGGTTTGTGGGGGGAAGGGGAGGGCAGCATGGAGAGGGGGTTTTCCTCTACAGCCTCAGTGGGCTCTGGGGAGCCGGTGATTTTGAGGCCTTCTCCTTTCTGCCCCGAAAGCCAAGTCATTTCCTGCTCATATCACTATCTTGTCCTCATCAGCAGAGCTGAAATCCCTCAGGTACTTTTCCTTGTTCTCTTCTGAAGAAGAGGAGGAGAGCCAGTGAGCAGAGGGCCTGGAAACATGGCTCAGATTTGATAAACAGGCAGGAGGTTTCAGCAGCAGTCAGGAGAGAAGAATACACATTATCCCCCCAATTCACAGTGCCACGCTGACCAGCTGGAGGGCTGCTCTGATCCCCTCCTGCCTCTGGCAGCCAGGATCAGCAGTGCTTAGACACGGGGAGGGGGCTGTCGCTGTGCCCTGGGGCCCTCCCTGCTCCTGGAGGCTGCCTTTGCAGAGTGAGGTGGTCCTCCTGGAGGGGAGGGCAATTGATGAAACCCCAAAATATGCTTTGGTCACCATGGGGCTGTGGAGGCAGGCATGCAATGTGGGGGATCCACTGTGAGCTCCCTGCTGAAAAGGGGTGAGGTAGAAAAGTCCTAACACCTGGGAAATTCTTTAATCACCATTATCCTTGAATTAATATTGATCAAGGATTGTGATAGGCATGGCTTTGACCCCACCTCCCCTACCCCCATCCCAGTGCCAAGAGGATGATCAGGATTTATTGACCCTTCCCTGTGCCCAATTCTAGGTAGTTTGCACTCATCCAGGTCCCCACCTGTACCCCAAACACTGGCACTCACACAGAGGAACACACACCCCAGTTCACAGTCCCCCACATGGGGAAATGAAATGTGGCACTCAAAGCCACTGAAGAAACTCTGCCCCTCTGTCTGGCCTGCTTGGCTCCATGCTTATTTTGCAAGGGCCTCTTCTGCAAAGGACTTGTGAGTCAAAAGAAATTAGATCTAGTTCTCACCCCAAGATGATTGTAATTACAATTTAATGAGCAGGGACATGTCTACACATAAAATTACAATAAACTAAGGTTTAAAGTACATAATAAAAACAAAAACAGAAAGAAAGCAATGTGCTGTAATAATTTTGTCATTCATTGTTTAAAAAGCACTTTCTGGGATGCAGGCCTGAGTGCATCTTGGGCCACCATCTGGTCAGATGAGGTAGTCCAGGCAACAAAGCCTTGGGACAAACAAACCCTAGGTCGAGTCCCTTCAGACCACATCTCTCTCTTTCTTACATTTGGCTCCAGCTGGTGAAAAAGGCAGGTCAGTGAGCCTTATCTCCAGCCTTTGGGCTACTTGTCCTCTTATGGAGTCTCTCTGGCCTCCCTCCTCTGTGGTGGTTGGCAGAGGGCCCCAGGCTCCTGGACAGGTTGCTCACATGCATGGCTATCCACAGATCCCACACGCCACAGCCCTCACCTGCCTCAGAGCTCTGCTGGGTGATTGATGGGACTGCTCTTGCTCCTGGTCCCAGAGAGCTCCTTTGAATAATAACTTGGCACAATTACTCTCTCTGTCTTTTTTCTCTCTCTTTTTGCTTTCCCTATTCCCTATTCATTTGCTCTTTCTAAGTCATCCGGCTCCTTTGAGTTAGAAGAAGAAAAAGCAGAACAAGGAAGAGGAGGAGGAGGTGACACAGAGGAAGTGGGGGACCATCAGCCTCACTCCCTTGTTTTTCAGGGTGGGAGCTGGTCAGCCTCACTCCCTTGTTTTTCAGGGTGGGAGCTGGAGAGAGCTATCACCAGCCTTCCTTGTCTGGGGACTTTAAGGTGGAGTGCTAGTCAGATTTGCAAATGAAACCTCATCTCGGGTAAAGAAAGCAAGTGTGGGCCATCGGGGAGGTGGGGGGTAGGTAAGGCAGCTGCCTCCTCTACCCTGTAACACTGGACCTGCCTGGCGCAGGGATGGTGGAATCTCTCTCACCCTAAAAGTGGAGCCACAGAGAAGGTGGGGGCAGAAAGGGATGGAGGTTCAAGGCAATCACATCAGCTCATCAACACTTTTGTTGATCACCAGGCACTGGGGAGACAAAGATGAATAAGACGCCTGCCCCAGGGAGTTAAGAGGTCAGCATGGTACCACTCCCACCACAGGACTGTGGGAGCAGGTGGGTTATTGGACAATGGGAGAGATGGCAAGCAGTCTTTTTTTTTTTTTTTGAGGGAGGGTATTGGGATTGAACTCAGGGGAACTCGGCCACTGAGCTACATCCACAGCCCTATTTTGTATTTTATTTAGAGACAGGGTCTCACTAAATTCTTTGCACCTCACCGTTGCTGAGGCTGACTTTGAACTAGTGATCCTCCTGTCTCAGTACCACACCCCAACCTGGGCTGTTGGGATTACAGGCGTGAGTCACTGCACCTGGCTGCAAGCAAGTCATTACAGATAATGATGTTGTGAAATCTCCATCTGGTTGTGGGTAAGGATGCTCCAGATGTCAGGTTCTGCAGAGACAGAGGCTTGAAGGTGTGAAATGAGGGAGACCCTTGGGGATGGTTCTTAGAACAGGAAGAGCAAGATGGGCTTTGGCAAGACATGAGAGGCAGGCAAAGGCCAGGTAATAACACAGGTTATTAAAATAGTAGATATTAATCAAATGCTTAGTGGAGAGGGTTTGTGTGGCAGACACAGGAATTGGATAATTACAGGAGGTGAGCCACCAACAGGAAGATGTATGATCAGACCCACAACAGTGTAGGACAGATTAGAGTTGCAAGGGGCTGGAGACAGGGGGCCCAGCTAGTAGGCTGTAGCCACATTCCAAGCCAAAACCAGTTAAGGACCAAACCACGGTAGGAGCAAGCCAAGGTAGGACCAATGGGGAAGTGACTAGGTCTGAGAAGCACTTAGCATGTCATGTTGACGGGGCTTGATGACTGGATGGAGAAGGAGGATACAGGAGAAGACAGGAGTCAAGGGCACCACCTGGGGCCACCATCTGAACAGGGGATCCTCCCAGTGGAGATATTCATGACACCCACCACCTGGTGGATGGTGCTGCAGTTCCAATCACTGGGACAAAGACAAGCCATTCACTTCTCTTGAATGTTCTTCAGGGTTATATTTACAGACAAGTTTAATCTGTATTATCCAGCCACAGTTGGGTGATTCTGAGATTTTTTCCCCCCAGAAGTGTACCATTTATCCCTGGTATATTTATCATTTCTTCCTTCATTCCTTCCCTCCTTCTTTCCTTCCTTTCTTCCTTCCTTCTCCTTTGGCTAGCAGGCTATGCTCACCAACTAGGATGTTCAAGGATGGTGCTCTTTGTCCCTGGGTAGGATGGGGCAGCCCAGATGGGTCCCTGCTGGCTGGAGGTTGGGAGGCTGGGAACTTCCTGAGATCACGTTTCCTTCCTGTCATCTCTGCTCTTCATCTCAAGTATTTGTCCCCCTTGGATGGATTTCCTCATAAAATAAGTGTATTGTCTGAATCAATCTTATTTTTAAAAGGAGAGAGTCATCATATTGTGAAGACAGATCATAAAAAGCAGAATCCATGGGTCAGGGACGCTGTTCGGCGTTGGTACTTGTTTAGTGCAGGCAAGAGCGCCAGGAGTCTGGACCCGGGGAGGCTGGTTGGCACAGTTACCCCTCAATGCCCCTGGCCTCTTCTGTCCTTCTGAAGCAGCCTCAGGCCTTCATGGGGTCTTTTGTTTTAATATTTAGACCATTTAAAGCAGGCAGCTTTGCATATTGAATAGGGGCACTGTGTACAAGGGACTGACCCTCCACCAGAGGGGCCTCCCCTTGGCAAATACCTGAAATGCTTCCACTTGAGATTTAATGCTAAGGGTCATAGATGACATTGCAGGCAAGCTCTGCCTTTTGTTTGATTCTTCTAAAAAATGACATAACCCATTCATAAGTACATAAGTAAAAAAGTATAATAACACATGAGTGGTACATGAAGTGCCTGGTGTAAAATTTATACATTGGGAACATTATACAGGTAATACACCAGTACATGAGCAAGGTAAGGGGGACTTCACAAACTCCCCCAAAGTTCCCACAGTGACTACTCCATCCTTCCACCCCTCTTTCCATGCATTTCTTTTATTCCCACATGATACATATACATTATTTATTTTTCATTATATGTATAGGATCAGATCAAATTCTTGGTACTTTGTTTTGCTTTTACATGACATTCTATTTGGGGTTTCTTTTCAAAATTAAAACAACATACCCTTATCATAAAAACGTCAAACTTCATAGAAGGGTAAAAAGTAAAACAAAACAAAAATCAAAAGTCAAAATCCTTTCCTTCCTGTCTATCCACTCCCACCCCACAGAGCAAAGAGAAGTATATTTGTGTTCTTTTAGAGATGCCTATGCATGTACAAGCATTTAAACACATGTGTCCTTAATGTGTTTACTTCATAGACAAAAAAGCGAGAGCTCAGAGAGGCCAAATGATATATCCAAGGTTGCGCAGCAGCCTGCGGCACTAGCAAAAGTAGAAGCCATGCTCCGACTTCCCAAAAGCAGTGGCTTTTCCACTGCGCACATGTAAGGTTTTGCCCAGAGCCAGCCTCAGCTGGTGCCTCTAATATCTCCCTGCTCTGGACCTTGTCTACAAAGCTGGTGACACTTTGCAATATGGCCCATGTCCCTCACCCCTCCCACAAATGCCCCAGGCTCTCAGTGTATTAATAGACTGCACTTGTGCTGGGCGGGCGGGGCAGGTCCAGCTAATCATTTGTTTCTCTAAAACCTTCGTGGCTGTCAGAGTGTGGTCACAGCAGAACAGCTGGCAAAGACATTCAGGCAGCTTGTGTGTGCACTTTTGTTCCCCAAATTACAAATGACAATTAGATGCAGAAGACAATTCCATCTCAGCCCTCCCTTGCCCTGGTGGGAACTGACACCCACTTCAGGACCATTCATTCTCCCTTGTGCTTGATTTGGGGGCCACAGGCCTGACCTCCGGGAGCACCCAGCCTGATGGAGGAGGTCAGGTGTGCCCTTCCATACGCCTCCCTTTACCTGCAGTTAGCTGGTGCTCCCTCCCTCCTCTCTTGTGTCAGCCTTATCTATCTTGGGCCCAGATGTGTCTCAGCATTGCCGACATCTGGCTGAAAGAAGAAAAGTCAGTCGGCTCTAAGGATGCATTTGTTTCTGGTTGACACCGGGATGGCACCCATCTGGTCACCTGGGAAACATCCAGGTGGACACGCTCAGCATGCTGGCCACTGGTATATTTGAACTTGCCACCTAAGTTCATATGTTCACCGAGGGCAGAGCCTGGACCTATGTATGAGTTGTCCCCAAGCCAGACCTGTTCAACTCCACTCAACCTTGCAGGTGGACACTTTGTTGGGAGGAGACAAGAGGAAAGCACAGAACTGAACAGCAGGAGCAGGCGGAGCAGGGTGGTGGGGGTGGTGGGGGAGGCAGGGGCAGAGTGAGGTGCCAGCAGCGGCAGAAACTGATCTTGAAAATGAACTCTCTCTACTGACTTCACGGTGCTGCCTGAGACTGAGCCTAGAGGCGTTGTCCTGACAGGGGAGCTTTGCAGTGGGGTGGGGTCCTTCCTGCTCTTTCCTTTGATTTCCTCACAGGAACCAGTCTCCCTTTCCTGCTCAACAGACCCTCCTGAGATCTCTGATTCTGCAGCGCCCCCTCGTGGGCAACTGGAGTCTGGCTGGAAAGAATACAGAACACAGGCACATCGTCACTCGGCCAAGGGAATTTACAATCTTGTTTAAGGTTCTTCCACCTGCTCCCACCACTGCCAAAAAAAAAAGGTACTCAAACAGCTGGCTGTGTGCATATGTGTGTTTGTGCCAAGTGGAAATCTGCTCTAAGAGAGAAAATGACTGAGTTCTGCAGCTCAAGTGTGTTCTGAGACAGGACAAAATATAAAACAGAGGTGTGTGAGTGTGCGTGTGTGTGTGTGTGTGTGTGTGTGTGATTCTGTGTTAAAGTGTTGCTGCCAAGACTTCAAATGACTTTGGTACATCCTCTACACTCTCCAGTCTCAAGTTGGGCCACTCTCTTTCAAATACTTCTGAGTCCCAGATAGTGACAGAGTTTCCTTCCAGCCTTCCCAGGCCTGATGCAGAGGGCTGGAGCAGACTTCACAGAAGGAAATGGGTTCAAACCGTGTGTGGCCTCAGGATGGCAAAGCCGAGATCTGAGATTGATCCATCAGTCAGGTGCCCGCCCAGGCTTGCAGGTAACTCAGCATGACCTGATGGAAAGGCCCCAGAAAAGGTCTCCAGCCAGGCTCACTCCCAGCCCACCTTCACCGTCACAGCTGTGACCTGCCCATGTCATCAGCTTATTTCATGGAGGAAGAAACAGACATGGAGAGGTTGCCAGGGCCACCCAGCTGGGGTGGCTGAGCTGAGCGCTCTGTGTCCCCATCTGCTTCATGATCCCACAGAGGCACACAGGAGGGTATCTCCATCTTCCCTCTCTAATGGTCAGTGGTCAGAGAGAAGAGAGGGGCCAGAGTGTGCAGCAAGGAGGGACACTGAGCCACATGCCAGGAGAGAGAGGAAGGGGGAGGGATTGAGGGGGGAAGGCAAAGATTCAGAGAGGTAGGGAAATATGCCGTCCCACTCTCCCCATGGGACTGGATTCTAGGAAGATACATGTTCCAGGTTTCATTCCCAGACCTTTGAGATTAGAACTTCTGGGTGTGGGACCAAGGAATCTGCATTTTAAGTTTCTCTGAGTGGCAAAGTGTGTCAATATCTGTACCTTACTGTGAAATACATCAAAAGAAGGAGATAAATTGGTGGATGGGTAGAGGGAGGGACTGACAGGTCATACTTGATAAAGCAAACACAGCAAAATGGTAACCAAGGAGTCAGAAGGTGGGTCGCACAGTGCACTGCACAATCCTTTCAACTTTCTGTATGTTTGAAAATTGCATAACGAGATGTTGTGGCTGAGTAGGTAGGCTGGGGATCACTATGGGAGGCAGAAGTCTCCCTCAGAGGACTTTTGGAGGAGCAGCTGTCCTGAAGTCTCCTCCTGCCTCCCCATGGCCCCAGCCTCCAGCCTCATCTCCTCAGCCTCATGCAATCCTAGAATGCACAGCAGATGGGTTCTGGGGTCTGCCCCTTGGGCCCCCCTTGTTTTGTGTTAATTGGGATTCAGTGGTCCCAGGGCTTTGTCCTGCTGGGTGGGTGGTCTGAGGCTGGTCCACACAGGGGCACTTATACCCCTATGACAAAGCCAGTGATGGAGTGGATTTGGGGCACAGCACAAAAAGCGGGAACTAGAAGTTCTCTTGGAAGAACCTGAAGCCAAACTGCTCACAGTGGCCCTTCAGCACCTTGGCCAGAGCTGGGGAGCCACAGAAGAAGACCTGCACCTTGCCCTTCTTTGCAGCAGCCACTTTCTGGAACACCTGGAGTCAGAGGGTTGGAGAGAGCAGAAGGAGAGGTGGGGCTGGGATCAGAGGCCACTGCTGCCACCACCTGGAGGCATCAAGGAGCAGCCCCATTTGACCCAGGAGCTTGAGGAACATGGGTGGCACTGCTGCTGGGCTCACAGTGGAGTCCACCACCCGGCCACTCAATCAGGAGCCACTTGCTCAACTTGTAACATGGCCCAGAAGGGAGTTAGGGCTAGAAATAAGTAAAACCAAGGCCTTCCACTTGAGAACCCCCTTCTGTGGGAAAAACACACTCAAATTGATGCAGCTTTGGCAACAAGAGGCTGTGTGCAGCTGCTCGGGAGCCCCTGGGCCATGTACTATGATCTAGATGTCTCTTTCTTTATTATTATTATTAATGAGCTAATTTATTTATTTTAATTAGGTATATATGACAGCAGAATGCATTTTAGTTGATTGTACACAATTGCAGTAGAATTCTTCATTTCTCTGGTTGTACACGATGTAGTGTCACACCCTATGAGCAGTCATACATGTACCTAGGGTGATGATGTCCCTCTCATTCCACCATCTTTTATTTTCCCCCTGGTAAGGGCCCTTTTTTTTTTACCCCAAATTGTGTTTATAAATTGCCTTTTGAAGAAGGGTCCCTTTGACATCCATGTACCACTCCCACGTACTGTCCCTTAGCCCTCATGACCCTGGCTCAGAGCATCTACAAAGACTGTGTCCCAATTTTTCAGAGAAGAAAATAATAATAATTAATAAACATAATAATACATAACATAATAGTAATAATAATAAAACCAATCTGAGAAGTAAAATGGAAAGATCACAAACTACTTCTTGCCCATGGGCCTCAGTTTCCCCATTTGCAATAGGAGATAAAATAAGACTTAATGTTTCCCCAGGACCCTGACCACCTGGGCTTTCTGGCTTTGGTTCATAGGGACTCAAGGCTGGAGAGGCCATTGAGGGCAGGTAGACCAACTTCCTCTTAACCAGATGGGGAAACAGGGAGGCACAAAGTGAGCGAGTGACTGAGCAGAACAGGGTTCCCTGACTACTACTCCTGCCTGGACACCTCCTCTGAACTTTGGATGTGAACTTCATACTTCACCCCTGGCTGCTTGACCCTGATCTCCCTGCTGCTGCCTCAGACTCTCAGCCTCATTGGCCCCTGCCCACTGTGGGGTTCCAGCTAGCCTTTACCTTGCTCCAGTCGGGCCGCCCAGGCTGGGTACGTGTCTGGAGACCTGTAATAGAGTCCTTCTTCTCCTTCTTGGCCAGGAGGTCGAGGGCCATCTGCAGGCCAATGGCCTTCATGTCATTCTTGCCTAGTGCAGAAGTCATGTACATGTGCAGCTCCAGGAAGTGGTCTGCAGATGACAGAAGAGAGTGGTACCAAATGGCTAGCACCTGTGTTGGGGACAGGGCAGGATGCTGGGCACTACTGCACCCTGGGGCTTGGCGGGACACCAAGAGGTATAGGAACTCACACCTTCAGTCAACCATGTTTGCCCAGGACCTACCTCGTGATTGATGCTGTAGAGAGAAAAAATGGCCCATGGCTTGAGCTGGGCCTCCATGTGCATGGTGAACACAAGTTAATGTACACCCTTGGCCTCATGTGAGCCTCACAACCACTCCAGGAACTAGACCCTACTTTGACAGAAGGGGAAATAAATCCCAGAACAGTCTTTGGGCTCCAGAGCTCCAGTGCATTTCTCACTGTCTACCCTCAGTCTGCCTGGGGACACAAGTCACGCACACATGAAAAGGTGACTTGGCTTGAGTGATGGCTCACATGGAAAGTACTATTGATGTACAGGGAAGGACTGTGGCTGAGAGAGCTGCTTCCAGGAAGGGGCACAGACTGGGTCAGGTCTTGGGAGAGGGGCAAGGTTCAGAAGGAAGGTCAAAGGAAGGCATATTCAAAAGGGGGAACAGCATGAGCAAGGACAAGGGGCTGGAGCGAACGTGAAACTGGGGGACACATGTGAGTGGCTGGATGGAGCAGAGGAGATGGGACTAGAAACGCAGATGCCAGAATCTGAAGGTCTTGAATGTTCAGCTGGGAAACGTGGGAAGGTCAAGGGTATCTGGGCGGAGTGCCAAATGGTGAAAACAGCTCTTTGGGAAGTGGTATCAGACGGCTGAATGGACGGGAAGTTGACCAGCATCGGGGAGACCCATTAGACCAGCAAAGCCACACTTTGGAGCTGAAAGAGTCCAGGGCACTGAGATATTGTTCATTCAGGCCTCAGGGCAATTGGAGCTCCCAGGTGGGCACCTGTGTTCAAGCTGCTTCCTTTTTCCTGGGTTGTGACACAAATGTTACCGTTTTCTGTGTGTGCCACCGTGAGAAAAAGATGGTGAGCACAGCTCTAGGGCTCATTCAAGCCAGAGATGACAGGGCCCTAAGAGGATACTGGAAGAAGCATTCATGAGCTGATAGTCACCCTGTCCTTCCCCTCACCCACCCCATGCCTCCATGAAAGAATTCGTGCCATCCCAGCTTGCTCTCTGTTGTTTCCTGTGCCACCATTAGCCTGGTTTCCATCTGCTTAAGGTCTCTGCCACTGTCCAGATGGAAACGGGCCTAGGAGGCACAGCACATTTGTTTCACATGTCACTTAACTCTTAGTAGTGCTAGGCGGCCTGCAAGGGGGGAGATGCATTCTCAGGGGTGGCCTGCTGAGAGGACCCTGACCCTTCTTACGCCCGCCTCAGAGTCAGAGGGGGAGAGGAGAGAGGAGACATGGTGGCATAAGGGAAAAGAGAGCTTCTGTGGGGGGAAGCATAAGGGAGCGTCCCTAGTGCGGGGGGGGGAGTGTGCCTTACCCCCTCCAAGCAGCTATGTTTAAGACTGGCTTCCCATTTCCTAAGAAATCATCTAAAAGAAGGAAGAAAAAAAAACATGTACACTAATATATTAATTTTAGATATATCTGAGATAGGGGAGAATTAGGAATAAATAAAATGTTCAGTAGCAGGAGCTTGGTCCCATTATTTATGGCACCACTCACTCTGTCTTTCATTATGTAACCATGAAAGACTTCCAATTTTTTTGAGGTAGTGATTAAACTTAGGGCATTTACCACGGAGCTGCATCCCCAGCCTCCCCTGCCCCCTTCTCCAATTTTATTTTAAAGTTTTAAAATTATAACAACAGTGAATATTTTCCTGGCACAAATAATGCTTGTTTTTTAAAAAGCAGAGGGATGTGCAAATGTGTGATGTTCCTATTTCATTAAAAATAAGAGAAAATCTGTACTGTGTTTTTCTCCCAGCTCTCAGTGTGAAACATTAAGCACTGGCCCTAGACAGGCATATGTCTGTATACAGAGAAGCACACAGACCTAGCGCTCCCAACTACTTAGCAAATTCAAAATTTGCTGCAGTATGTCTTACTGTCTTCTCCCTGCCCTTCCCCCTCCCCATCTACCACTACTCATAAAAAGAAGTAAAGAGAGGTCAGGGGGTTTTATGTGGCTCGTGGTGGGGATAGAGCCCCACAGACCAAGCAAAGCCACATCTTGTACAGAGCGAAGGTCCTCAGCACCACATACAAACAAAGATGTTGTGTCCGCCGAAAACTAAAAAAAAATAAATAAATATTAAAAAAAAAAGTCCTTATAGGATACAATTAATGTAGAAAAACTCAAGTTTCCACAGGGCACACCGAGGCACCTGGCTGACCAACTCCTCATCCTTCCTGCATGTAACAGGAGACTCTGTCACAAAGACACCCCAACAGCTAGTTCCTAGCTAACTAGGAGAAGCCTTAATTTCTCCCATCCGGCTGTCATGTGGAAGCCCTCCTCGCCTTCCGTAAGACAATACAGAGGCCACAGGGAAGACTGACGGAAGTGAGAAGGAAACTGGGCCTTCACCTGCTGGCTGCCACCACTACTCCCTTTGGGAGGTCAGCCCAGGAAGGGTTTTCCTACCTCCTTCTTTTGCTGCTAGCAGCTGCCTCCCCTTCCCCACCAGCAAAGGTCCTGAAACTCTAAAAGGGGCCCCTGACTTAAGGACACTCCTACAACCCTTATAGTTCCTGGGCTGCCTCTCCTCTAGCCAGAACAAACTGCCTCGCCTGTTCTCTCCTCCCCCGTGTCTACGGTCATAGCAAACAAATCACCCAACAACACACACAAAGCCCCCAAATCCCTAGCCCCGTGGGAAGATTACCAGTAAATCAACAAAACGAAATATAATCACATCCTCATTATCACACAGATGAGATTTGTTGTTGCTGTCCTTGCACAGCTGGTTAAGGAAAAAGGAATTATTCCACAATCCCTGAGGAGTCCAAATTCTGTCTCATGAAACGTTAGGATAGAATGGGGCAAAGGGCCGCAGGTGGATGGAGAGAAAAGAAAGGAGCAAAGTGTTTATAGAAAATGAGGAGGAAGGGGTGTCCACAATAAAAGGCCACATTGCCTCCTCTTGGCACTCTTGTCTTGGCTGGCCCTTGTGGCACCAGACTTGGCTTTGGGCTTCATTGGTTTGGCCTTCTTGGGCTTGGATGCCCTGACTGGCATGGCTTTGACAATCTTGGGGTTTTGAGTTTCTTGGTGTGGCAGCTGCTTCCTCTTGGCCTTCATGTCTGAGGTGGCTTTGGGCTTCTTCCTTGGAGTTTAGGACACAGCTTTCTTGGGCCTGAATGCCTTCTTTGATGTGGCCACTTTCTTGGTCTTTCTGAAGGCTATTGACATCCCAGGGTCTTTGCTCTTGGCCAGATGGAAGGACCTTGAGGCACCCATCCCTTTGGTTTGCTTAAGGACACTGGAGGCACCAGGTGCTTGATGCACAACTTGATCTGGGAGTTGGCATTCTCACCCACCTGGTAGTGGCTCTTGATATACCTCTGTATGAGTAGATTGGTGCCAGGAGCCAGAGTGGGTCTTCTTGGCCTGAACAGCAGCCACAGTTATATCTGAACACTTGGGGTGGTCTGTGCACTTCTCGGAGGCCTTGGCCCACTTGGGTTTGGCTGCAGGATGGTTGTGGAGTTTTCAGGCATTATGGCCCACCTGGTCCTGCTGTTGAAGGCACCTTCCAAAGGTCCAGTCCTTGTCAGAGGCTGAGCAAAGCCTGATTTGGGATCTGCTCTCAGGCCCCTGACTAGCAGGCCAGATTAGAGTTTGCCAGGGCTACAGGGGAGGAGTTACTCACTGCCTGTCCCCACTGGCATGGGTCATGAGAGGGCTTGCTGGGCCCACCCTGCATGGCCCATCCCGGTGGCTCTGTGCTCAGCCTTTTCGCCTGGCTCTGGCTCTAGCTCTGGCTCTGCTCACACTCTTTTCTGCCTTCTTTTTCCCAGCTCTGTATCTCCCCAGCCCTTCTTTTATTCTTTATTTTGAGACAGGGTCTTGTAGGTTGCTGAAGCCGGCCTCAAATTTGCATTCCTCTTGCCTCAGTCCAAGTTGCTGGGATTACAAATGCATGCCACCATGGTTGGCTAATTCCACTACTATTATTGAGCATTTATAATTACTAAGATAGGTGGACTCACAGGGAGAGAGAGAAAGTGGTCCTTAGTAGAAGAAGACCCAATCTATGAGCATGATCAGCCCTGCTTGTCTCTTTAGATGAAGAAAGCCTCCAGCATATGCTTGTACCAGATCAATCAGAAAGACAACATCATCGATTTAAATGTGACCAGCTTCAAAGACTGATACTGATTTATGGCTACTCTACTTAACCAGGAAGAAACATTCTGAACCGCAAATATCAAATGATGAACATGGGATTTGACTTTCACAACAAAAGTTTGCCTGTGAACCTGCACTTTTCTTCCTTTATATAGGGAAAGTCCTATATAAAGGAAGAAAACGCATCACTGTCTTCTCTTTTCTGAGAAGCAAGGGGTATCTGCAACCTATCTTGGGGGCATGTATACCTTTGTTTCGCTGTCTTTTAATAAATATTTGCTTGTGCCTTGTTTTTGACAATGGTGGAGGTCAATAACCCACTCAGCCCAAGCTGAGATTCCACTGCTCCCTAGAAGGGACTTCTTTGGATCCCTGTCTGGTGTCATTCCTTTAGTGACATGAAGAGACTGGCTTTCCTTTCCTTTTAGCTTTTGCCTTTTGATTGCATGGCATTCTCTGAAAACCTCAACCATATAGTAGATCACACATCATAGCCAAATTGGTTTTATCTCAGGGGTGCAAGGATGGTTTATCATATACAAATCAATAAATTAAATTCATCACATAAATATAATTAAGGATAAAAATCACATAGTCATCTCAATAGATGTAGAGAAGGTCTTTGACAAAATTCAGCACAAATTCATTATAAAAGTACTAAAGAAACTAGAAATAGAAGGAACCTACTTCAACATAATAAAAGCTATATAAAACAGACC